TTTTGTTAGTTTCCTTTTTTTTTTTTTTTTGGAGATAAGAATATTAATCATCTTATTACACCTACCCGCAACCATGTAAGTACCACAAACAAGCAATCCTGAACATGAAAAGATAAGATACACAACTAATGGAAAATTAGTCACTACAAGCCTTAAAGCTGTTCCACAGTAGAGAAAAAGAAGATGAAGACAATTTTTTCAGTCAAGGTGCATGCATCCGGAAAAAAAAGATGGATAAAGCAGAATGCAAACTGGAACTACCAAGATTAATTAGCGTTTATGAATTTCGACAACATAAATACCTCATCAGTATAGCTCTAACAACTGACATTAGACCTTCAAATATCATTGTCTTATAAATCATTATATGACATTTATTTGCACTATTTTGAGGACAATTTCACTAGCATAGGTTTACAAACTGGAACTTCCAAAAGCAGAATGCAAGCAAATGTAAGATTTTGGCCATATGCACCATTGAAAATAACATAAGAAAACTACATGCATCACTTACCAAGAAAAGGAGGCGAAAATTAGTCACAAATAAGGTTCCAGCATCATCAGTGTTGACAAGAACTACCCCATAACCCTGGAAAAAATCAGTTAGCATTGAGACTTGCGCTGACTCCAAATTGTGGCAACTGAAGAGAACAGAAACTACTGAAAGCCTCTATGAGATCAAGTTGAGGCTTTTGTACAGAGGATTTTCACCAAAACCTTATTAATAGTTTGCTCCAAGTGAGTTTTGTTTCAATACAGTACATCCTAATGATCTAAATGAAGCCCTATTAAGAAGCTCATGGGGAGATAAATAAGCAATCAATCATAAGAAAAAACAATCAGCGCATTAAGTAATTATAAATGAAATCAACATATAAAGTAATGTAAATGATTTTTTAACACCCTCTTACGCCAACATCATATCTTCCCAATAAATCAGGAAAAATATTAAATACCAAATCAGGATCATTTATAGTTGGCAGTGTATGTGTGGGCCTGTGAGGAGTCATATTGTATCTTATGCATTGGACGATAAATGCTTCTAAAGATAGAAAATGCAGAAATAAATGTCAGCATCCTGTTTGAAACAACAATCTGAGGACTTCACAGGACTTCCTTCATAGTTCTTCAGAATGTCACATAATATGTAAGTCCCTTGGATTTGGAAAGAAGAAAGAAGTCTTAATTTACTACTTAATCTAAAATGTAATTTATTAAAGGTAGGCTTTCTTTAGACAATTAGATAAATGTACCTCAATCAACATTGATTAAGATATAATAATTCTTAAGCTGAAGAGAATTTAAAAAACTTAAAGTAGTCCAAAATTCACAAAAAGAAAAAAAAAAGTTTAGTTCAATTACATTTTTGTCCTAAAGCTTTAGACAAACACAACTTTTTTTGTAAGTAAGTTATGATCATTGTCTCTAAAGCTTTAGGAAAAAAATATGATTGAACTAGAGAAAAAAAATCAAAAATTGCAAAGATGACAAGAATAATGATTACTAAAGGAAACCTAACTTATTCTAAGTTAGGCCCTTAGCATCCTATTTAAGGTTAAAAGGCGGCTTTTTAACTAAATCTAGGAGAGCAGTTCCTATGCAGGATGGGAATAAAGGCTTCTAACATCAGAACTCATGACCTAAGTACTAAGTTACCTTAGAATGGGATGCCAATCTTCTAATAAAAAGAGTTAAAGCCAAACCACTATTCTCGATCGCTACTTTATCCAATCCAAAAATGCAGATACTCATTCGCAATTCACAAAGGATTAATTAATCGTGATAACCCCTTTTAAGTGAGTTAATTTGTCATTTGATTTTGTTTATTTGAGCTTGGGGCATAACACGACCCTCACTTAGCATCGTTAACACTACCTTTACCCTATCATCTTTGGCTGTGATACAAATTATCCTCTAATTAATCTCATGCATATTTCTTTCAAAACAAGTAGCTCAAATATCTGTATCCCATACTCTAATTACACAACAACAATCACTAAAGTCCAAATTCAGCTGCTACGAAAATCTTTTTAAAATGCACTACACATACAAACACCAAGAACGCACAGTACTACCAGCATTACCTCTACTACAACATACTCATCCGCCAGCAAGAATTGTTTCACTCCAATTGGAACCGGCCTGGCAACAGGCTGCACATATTTATATAAAGAAAAACATCAATTTACGCATTCAATAAGAAATATTATGCAGAAATCAACGCACAATAATTGAAATGATGGAACCCTAGAGAAGTAAATTACATCGATTTTAGTCCATTCAAGGGCGTCCCAACCACCGGCACCTTCAATTTTATCGGACTCGGCGAGTCGAATGTCCGGTTCACGGAGGTTCGGGGATCGCGCCGACCGACTCCGATACATGGCGGTGCGGCGACTCGAGTTCGGCGGTTGATCGAGTTTTTTCTGGTTGTTGGTTTTTTTATTTTTTTTAACAGGATTCGAACAAGAAAATTGGAAAAACAGAGGGTTCTATCTCTCGTGACCCAAAGAAATGAGCGAATTTTTGTATGTTTGGTTATTTTATTTGGGTAATATTTTTGAAGAAGACACCTGTGAGATCAGTGGACCCCATCTGACGTGGGACCTAAGGTACCTCTTACTTCATTTTAACCGTTATTGCACACCAAGTTTAATAAGAAGAATACTTTCGAAATTTATAATTTTAATATATTTCATTAAAGATAAATTAAAAAGTTAAATATTAAATTATTTCAAATACATATAAAGTTGGTCGTTATTAAATATTTTGATTTGTTCATAATAGAAGTTTAACTCATGATATATGTTTTTAATGAAACATCATGCATTGACTCAAGCAGAGACACAAGTCGAATTCAATAACTTTTGCTTAAACAGTATATTTGGTGCTTAGAATTTATTAAATATATACAAATATAAAATTTGGAACCCAGTCACTGATACTTGAAGTAATCGTTCTAAAATTCATAATTCATAAGATTGAAATCCTGGCTTTGTCTTTGTGCGTTGTAATTTACCTATTTGAACGAAGTTGGAAGGTACTCCAAATTTTCTAAATGAATAATTAATTTTGATCTAGGAGGACAATATTAAAGAAATAATGAGTTCCGGATCTACACATTCACAAAAATATAGTCTAGAACACTCTCAAATAAAATACAATAATTTATTTATTCCGCCGAAAATAGTGAGTTCATATCCAAACTATGATAAAAATATGGTTGAGAACAACTCTTCCAGAACAATATCCAAACGATTGCAAAAATAAAATCAATGAAAATCACAACCAAACCTAAACAAAGTTATTTTCTAATTTCACATTATCAAAGTTTATGTATAAAAGAAATCTAGCACTTGATGCTATGAAAATAAGTGGGCATAATACATAAACGCCTTCAGTTGGTAAGTATGCCCTCCAACTTTGAGTGTGTATAAGTAGGCACCTCAATTTGTCTTCACTTTATCAGTCGAACACTCCAACTTACAAAATGATCATCTAGATACCTCCAAAATTCATGTGCAACGTCAGTATTTGTATTTACATATTCAACTTTGTATAAGTTGATGTGCCTACTTGTGCACACTCAAAGTTGGAGAGCATACTTGCTAGCTAAGATCAAGTCTGAGGGTCCGTTTATGTATTATGCCAAAATAAATGGGCGTTTGGACATAAGAATTGTTAAAATTCGAAAAAAAGTGAAATTTTTTTCAAGTGAAAATGGTATTTGAAAAACTAAAAGTTGTGTTTGGACATGAATATAATTTTGGGTTGTTTTTGAATTTTTGTGAGTGATCTGAGTGAGAATTTTGAAAAATGACTTTTTGGAGTTTTTTAAATTTTCGAAAAATTTTAAGATTCATTTTCAAGTGAAAATTGGAAATTTTATGGTTAAATAGTAATTTCGAAAAAATGAATTTTTTTCTTAAAAAGGTGAAAAAAAATTAATGGCCAAACGGGCTCATGAAGTTATGGGTAAGAACTAAATTAATTAGTACCTTACGTGGTATTTCACATAACTATTTGTTTGTGGTTGATTTAATTATTACCTTATCCATAAAACATAAGCATCCACCGAGTAGATCAACTCTTCTGGTTTGAACAATTTTTTGTTTCATCATATCAAACTGTTAGAATATACTATAAGTCATGCGTATTGTTATAGTATTCTTTATGAACAATTATTT